CTGAATTGGAGAAAGACGCATAAACTATTACACAACATTTTTATCATTACCTTCCTTGTTAGACTCAAGGAACTCTTTGTTAGACTCAAGGCACCCTTGGAAAAGGTCAGCTCTTGGTTTTCACTCATTTTTGACTACAGAAAAATAACAGAGCAATTCTTCTGTTGCAAAGAACTCAGCAAGCCCACAACAGGTGAGAATGTTTGTAACACTCTGGATTCCTATCTGAAATCTCTGGGTTTCTCTTGCGAATCACTCCTGCACCTCTAATGGTGCTGACACTACCTGGCACCCTTGCAAGGGTCTCAAGACACCCCAGGGTGCTATATCACCCTAGTTGAGAATCACTGCCTTAGAGTATGTGCAGGATTCAGTCTTGGGAGCAAAACCATGTTGTTTCTTGTGTAAAGGAAGGTTTTTCTGTTGAGCCGTGGCAAGTAGCAAAGCTTAATATTTCTAAAGAGAATCAATTCTTGAGGCCAAGTTGCTCCCTGGGAACTGGCGTTTTGGCCGAGATTGTGGAAAAGGAGATTATCTGAAGGCAGTTGTGACCATCTCTGCTCAAGAACTGACATGTGCAGTGATGATAAACAAGTTGTTGCAGCAGAGCCAGACTCTGCATCACTGACTTCTTTTCCAAGTGGAAGCTAACCTGCAAGGCACCAACATTTGTTCCTGCTACAGAGACCGGGTGAGGGGGAGTGTCATTTTTCCTTCCCCATTATTTATCCTTGGCCTCTGACAAGCCTCATCTCACATTGATTGAATTATGGAGTAGAAGGGCTGGGAAGGGCCCTCAGGAGGTCACCTAATTCAACCCCCTGCACAAGGCAGGACTGTTCTTTCTTTTTTACAATTGAAGTAGTTTATTATTTATTGTTGTAATTATTTTCATAAAGCAAACAAAATCCATTTTAAGTATAGGTTTTTCCCATTCTCCCCTTGGCTTTATTCTAAAAGAATTAAAAAAAAACAAACACCAAAAGGAACCCAAACAACAACCACCAGGAAAAACTAAACACTAGACTCATAGAATAGCACCCCACCGGAGTCTACAACCTGCAAAGAGGTGGTAATGTAGATTTAAAAAAAACCCACTATGCATTTAAGTGAGGCAGAGTCAGCCATTCAGATAGTTGAAGCAATAATTGTTTGCAGTTTAGCAGCATGCTAAACACAGACACATTGCTCGTCCAGCAGGGCAGTCCCACTCTACAAATTAATACTGTGGGATTAGACTCAATACAGCCTCTCTCTTTGTATGGCGAAAGAACCAGCTGCTGCTTGGCTTGGGCTTGAGAAAACAAGAAAATTAAAGAACTGATTCAGGATATGAATTAACGCCAATGAGTAAACCATTCTGGGTGCAATTATATACACACACTAATGAAGGGAAAAGGAAGTTAAAGACGAAACAAAGAAAGATCATGTAGATAAAAGAGGCGGAGGTGTAGCTCTCTCTGTCAAGGAAAATTATGCGTCCCTGCAAGCCGACGTTGGCACCCAGGGTGGATAACTGGAGACACTCTGGGTTAAAATCCATGGTGAACAAGGCACAGGGGACACAATGGTGGGAGTCTACTACAGACCTCCTAGCCAGGATCAAGAGCTCAACCAGGAATTTGCCAGGGAACTGGCTGAAGCTGCACGCTCCCGGTGCATGGTTGTCACGGGAAACGTCAACTACCCAGACATCTTGTGGGAAGAGCGCTCGGCCAAATCCAAACGGTCGCAAAGCTTCCTCATGTGCGTGGACAGGCTCTATCTGACTCAAGAAGTCTATGGACTTACAAGAGGCAAAGTGCTGCTCGACCTGGTACTGGCTAAAAGGGATGATTTTATCAGCAACCTAACGATCGAAGGGAAGCTGGGAGACAGCAACCATGAGCTGAACACCTTCACCATTGCCATAAAGCATGCAAGTCAGTCAGCAGTGCAGAAGTCCTCGACTTCAGGAAAGCTGACTTTGACAAGGTCAAGAGGCTTGACGGCAAGGCCCTAAGGGACTACAACCCCAAGGGGAGGGGAGTTCAGGACGAGTGGTTGCTCCTCAAGGGAGCGATCCTGAAAGCACAAGCAATGTCTATCCCATCTCAGAGGAAAGGCAGCAAAAGGGCACAGCAGCCCCCTTGGCTCTCCAAGGAACTAGCGGACCTCCTGCGTCTAAAAAGAAAGACCTATAAAGGATGGAGGACTGGATCCACCTCAAAGAAAAAGTACTCTGCACTGGTCTGGACCTGCAGGGAGCAAACCAGGAAAGCCAAGGCTGCAACTGAATTCCAACTGGCTACATATATCAAAGACAATAAAAAGTCCTTTTTTAGATATGTGGGGAGCCAGGGGAAAAGCAAGGGTAACATTGGACCCCTGCTAAACCAGATGGGACAACTGACGACCGACGCCCAGGAAAAAACCAACCTGCTTAACGGGTATTTTGCATCGGTTTTTCACCAGTCCCAAGGGATGGTCCTGCTCAATACGGTAGGGGATGGCCAGGATGAGAGAGAATTGTTACCCTTCATCAGTGTAGACCATGTGAAGTAACACCTTGAGAGGCTGGACACCTTCAAGTCAGCTGGCCCTGACGGTTTACACCCCAGGGTACTCAAGGAGCTGGCGAGCATCATAGCCCAGCCCCTAGCACAGATCTTTGAGAACTCCTGGTGCTCTGGTGAAGTGACCGCAGATTGGAAGAAGGCCAATGGGGTGCCTATCTTCAAGAAAGGGAAGAAAGTAGATCTGGGGAACTATAGGCCCATCAGCCTGACCTTCATCCTGGGGAAGATCTTGGAAAAAATTATCAAAGAGACCATTCTTGACAAGGGATAGCCAGCATGGGTTTGTTGCAGGTAGGTCTTGCCTGACCAATCTCATCTCCTTCTATGATCAGATGACATATCACCTGGACACGGGAGAAGAGATTGACGTCATATATCTTGATTTTAAAAAAGCCTTCGATCTGGTGTCCCATGATCATCCCTTGGAAAAATTGGCTAAGTGTGGCCTCGGCTGCATCACAGTCTGATGGCTGGGGAATTGGCTCCGAGATAAGACCCAGAGAGTGGTAGTCGATGGAAGTAAATCATCATGGCACTCCGTGACCAGTGGGGTCCCCCAAGGCTCTGTCCTTGGGCCTATCCTTTTCAACATCTTTATTAATGATGTGGACATTGGTGTCAGAAGCAGACTGGCCAAGTTCACCAGTGACACTAAACTTTGGGGTAAAGCGTCCACACCTGAGGACAGGATGGTAACCCAGGCTGACTTAGACAGACTCAGAAAATGGGCGGCTGAAGACCTGATGGTGTTCAACACCAAAAAATGCAAGCAAGGTACTCCACCTTGCGGAAGAAAATCCTGCAGCACGCTTATAGGCTCGGCAGTGCTACGCTTGCTAGCACCATGGCCGAAAGGGACTTGGGGGTCATGATTCACCACAAGATAAGCCACCAATGTGATGTCGCAGCTGATGAAGCAAGCAAAACTCTGGCTTGCATCCATAGATGCTTCTCAAGCAAATCCCGGGACATCATTCTCCCCTTGTACTCAGCCTTGGTGAGGCCGCAGCTGGAGTACTGTGTCCAGTTTTGGGCTCCACAATTCAAAAAGGATGTGGAGAAGCTTGAGAGAGTCCAGAGGAGAGCCACACGCATGATCAGAGGGCAGGAGAACAGGCCTTATGAAGAGAGGCTGAGAGCTATGGGACTCTTCAGCCTGGAAAAGCGCAGGCTCAGGGGGGACCTGGTGGCTGCCGATAAGTTTACATCAGGATCTGGGGGAATGCCTGTTCACCAGAGCACCCCAAAGGATGACAAGGTCAAACGTTCACAAACTCCTCCAAGACCGTTTCAGGCTGGACATAAGGAAGAAGTTCTTTCCTGTCCGAGCCCCCAAGGCCTAGAACAGACTACCTCCAGAGGTGGTGCAAGCACCTACTCTGGACTCCTTTAAGAGACATTCAGATGTTTATCTTGCTGGGACCCTTTGACCCCAGCTGACTTTCTGTCCCTGGAGCAAGGGGCTGGACTCGATGATCTTCTGAGGTCCCTTCCAGCCCTAATGTCTATGAAATCTATGAAAGGCAGCAGGGTCAGACTAGTTCACCTCCAACAAAAGCCTACAGCATGAATCCACCAAGTAAAAGCATGTGACTATTACTTACATGCTCTGAGGGACATCTCAGAAGTTCTCAGGGAGCAACAGAGATCTTGCCTTCCAAGTACAGCTGCAATTACTGTTATTTCCACTGCTCTTTCAGGGAGGGTGGATGCCACAGTGGTTTGAGCTGTGTGATGAACTTGGCCAGTAGTGCCAGTCAAGACCAAATTTTATGATATGGGTACTTGTCCACCTGGACCTGGATTAAGAGGTTATCATACAGAAGTCCCTCAACAGTGCTTGGATGTAGTGCTGGGTGCCAAGTTTGACAAATGTCACCTCTCCAATTCCACAACTAGTCTTGTTTTGTCACATTCATTCCTCACCCCAAATTCTGCACGGACCTGCTGCAGAGCACATTTCGGTCCCTAAACCAGCTAGAGCTAGAAAGGAATTTTAACTGGCTAAGCGTCAACAAAAGAGCCTTCCCAAAATGGGAAAAGCTATTAAAAGAGGGGTTTGAGAAAGACACTGGAAAAAAATCAGTCATAGCTAAACTGAGAAACTACCAAGTTGCTGCAGCCAAATCCTTAACTGTAGAAGTCAGGATGTCTACTATCACACTGCTCCATAGGGCTGTGTGTATAAGGATACAAAACATGCATATAAGCTGTGTGTTGGGGCCTACCTCAACCCCCCTGCCTGTTTCAACAGCTTAGTACTTCAGGGTTTATTATAACATACAGGAGCCTGGGCGTTCTCACTTTGCTCTCATTGAGAAGTTCTTTACTGTATTAACTGACCCACTGATTAGAAGCGCAGAACCTGGGTCTTTTCATTTCCACATGGTGTTTCTACATTTTTAAAGCCCTGACCTCTCTCTTTCTCTCTCTCTGTTGCAGGTACATGGCTATTATCCACCCACTGCAACCCAGGCTGTCGGCCACAGCCACCAAGGTGGTCATTGGCATCATTTGGTTCTTGGCTTTACTGCTGGCATTCCCGCAAGGCTACTACTCAATGACGGCAGAGCTGCCCAGCAGGGTGGTATGTTTGGTGGATTGGCCAGTGCTTGAAACCAAGGTGTACGAAAAAACGTGAGTCTTCTCTTTGACAGATGGGAAAGAACAGAAAGGATGTAAAATGGTATGACACCCCAAAGCAGAGACGTAGGTGGGGAAGAACTCAAGATACCTTACAATTGGTATCTGTTGGTATGGAATACCTCCAACTGATCCCAAGTAATACCCCCTGCCCATTCCATGCTACCCTATCCCATATACTATTTATGTTCTAGGGTAGGAGGGAAAATTCTTCCAGCTCACAAGGCATGTCACCCCTGTACCCAGAAAACAACTTCATCATCACAGTAATATTTAATATAGTAGCTCAACTTTTACCTAAGGATCTCAGACCACTTTACAAAGGGCAGGAGTCTTAGCACAAGATAAAGAAACAGGCAGAGAGAACCGAAGAGATGGCAACATGGTAGAACCAAAAAAAGAGGATCCAGGTCTCTTGAATTCCAGACTGCCTCTGATCTAATGTAATGACCTAATCCCATTAAAAAACTCAACATAACAGTGCAACTAATTACCAATTTCTCTTTTAGTGTTAGTAAGGATGTAGCTCAATGCTAAGTAAATCCCATGATGTTGCATCCATTGTTTGCACAACAGTAGATTTATTGTCTATTTTGGAGAAGGTACATCCTTTTGAGGTTAAGAGCTTCTACATAGTTTTCCCCTATCCTACCAGACAGGAGGTAGAGAAGTGGTAATTATAAAAAACAATGGGTTAGCTTTGCTGGAAGCCTTCCATTCAGTGGCTTACGCAGCTTAAACTCAAGGAGGTCAGAGTGGCTAGTCAACACATTACTGGTAACGTGTATTAATCACTGAGAACTAACCGATACAATATAATCAGTGCTTTAGCTCCAACACATCTGCAACAAGAATGACCCACTGCACTAACCTGCAATTTTAAAATGATTGTGTGGGAATTTGAATTTTCAAGTTCTACAATTTGGAATTTTCACATGAAACAAAAAGTTTGGAAATGCTGCTAAAATCAAAACATTTCTTTTTTATTCAATTTCAGCTTCTATTTTTTTTTTATAATTCATTAAATGAATTCAATGGAATCAATGAAGGCAGAACATTCATATGTTTTATTTGAATTTTTTCCCCCAAAAGTTTATTGAAATTGGAAGTTCCCACAAAACATTTTCATTTTAAGGAAGTGGAATTTGGCAACAGAAACCTTTTCCACTACACATTTTGCCCAGTTCTACCATTTAACTTCTATTTTCAGTTAGGGAAGAATAATCTACTAAGGTACAAGCAAATATAAACCAAAAAACCCAACAGTTTAAGAGCCAGCCTCTGAAGAACTTGCTCACATTGGATAGTGCTTTACCAATAAGCCACCTCATTTATTTCACCTGTATAGAGAGGGCCCTAGGTAACAAACCCCACTGCATATCATCTTGCAATGCAGGTAAAATACAAGTTAAATTGGATCTGTTATGACGGATGATCAAAATACTCCACCCAAGTCAATGTTCTGCCTGGCTGCATTCTGTTCTCCAAGGCTAGCTCTTGACGAAGATGTCATAGAGGAATGATAGAACATGATAATCAGTTTGCATTGATGCAGATGGCTTTTGCATTACTCTTATTATTTATACATGCATCTTAATATGGCTTTATTTCAGATGGCAACTTTCATACAAACTGCACTTCATACAGCAAATACAATCCAGAGGAAAATGGGAAAATTGAGACACAGCAGAAAGACTTGGACAAAACAGGGGGAATTCAGAGTTGAGCAACAAAAATGATCAAGGGACTAGACTGACGAGGGAAAGATCAGAGGATACACTGCTGAGGCCATGAGTGCAGTAGTTTGAGGACCATTTCCAGGGAACACCAAAATGAGAGAGAAACTGTTTAGAGGTGGGCTAGGGCAAAGAATCTGGGGACAACAACATTAAGCTAGGCCAAATAAATATTGGTATTAAGGTTGGCTGCTAAGAACTATTCCATAGTCATAAGGCATATTAGATTATGAAAAACCCTTCAAGGGATCAAGGGAAGCCCATACAAATTAGGCAAAGCATGTAAGACTACTATGTATACAGAGAATGGTTCTGCATGGAGGGATGGCTCCTTCCAGCTCTTATCTCACTGGGCCTATGATTATATGGTAATACTATTTCTCCTATGTGCTTGAAGCTCTTATGTCTTACACTTCAGAGACACCACCTTGGAGTACATGGACTCTTCCCAGCTGCTATTTTGGCAGTTCAGCCTTGCTGAGCAGGCCTCAGGACATGTCAAACCTAAGAAATTCATATCCATTGGATACATAAAGGAAGACAGGCCTTGTGTATAGTAAAAAGGCTCTGCTTAACCAGATAGGGATAAAACCAATAGGGATACATTACAAACTACACTGAAAATCCTGTAGCATCCTACAGAAAATAAAAGCCTCTCTGAGTGTTCTGAAACATCCTGTAGAGTTCACAGTAGTGGTATGATCCTCTGTTAAATCATATGGGGTAGTTTGCAAGCACAGAGGGAGGAGACTACTCCATATGGCAAATTCTGTAGGAATTTTCACACAGATTTTCTATTTCCAAACAATTGACTCAGCCCTAATTACTACAAATCTGTCCTTTGGCACCTGGCTTACTCACTTTTGGGCAGCTCTCTTGTGAGATCCAGCATGGCTCCTTGCTTCTCACCAAAGTCACTTGCAGGTCATCATTCATGCTCATTAAGCCCTTAATGTTAGACAGTCAGGTGTTCTTCACACACACGTGTGATACAGAAACCAGAGCAGAATTGACAGATGACTGGTCTGGTAGGAGTTCTTCCAGTTTGAATACATTTTCCTCCCACTGAGGTTTCATTTAATTATTTCTGGCATTTCAAAAGGTTCTGGATGGTCCCATTGCTTTTGACAGCACAACAGCCTTCTGTGCTTTCCACTTTGATGTCTGGGAGGCTGGCTGCGTCTGTTCCTTTTTAAAGCAGCTTGTCGTATGGCAAGTTAAATGTCATGAGTTAAAAAAGACATTAGTGATCTAAAATCCTGTGGAATGATCAATTAAGGCCTGGCCCAGGAGTCTCATTATCAAACTACATGATGCGCTGGAGCCAAAGCAAAAAGATTCTGCAAGAGCCATTTGAAGGATCCCACAGTGCAAAACAGGTAATGGCCCAGAATTCATATGAGAGATGGTTTAGTCGATTAACTGTGACAGGGGAATGGCAAAACATTAAGAGACATTCTTTATTGTTTGCATACTTGGAGAGACAGGCATGGCCTTGAGAGCTTGTCACCTAAATACACAATGGACAAGACACCTGCTTCAGGCTATGCTGCACATCAGTGACAGACTAGGAATCAGGTTGCCTGACATCCAGTCCAGCACCCTGAGCCACAGTCTTATGCAGCATTACTTACTGACTCCTTTGAGGAACTTCAAGGTTGTTAAGTTGACAGCCTGATAGAACCAAACACCTACCTATTAGGGTTACTGTTTAGATGCAAGTGCATGTACAATTTTTTACGTGCTCTAATTCATGGATTTGAAACCAAATGAGAAATCTCAGGAATTCACAATACATTTGGCTGGACTGTCTTGGATGGCTGGAAGTATGTCTTGGAGGCTGGATTGTCTTGGAGGCTGGAAGTGACTCAGATAACATAACCCTTGCTATCAGTATGACTTTTCGTGCATCCTTCCTTGTCTAAAAGCCACAAACAAGAAAAACAATAGGTGAATTTCTCTGGTCAAGGAGACAGGAAGAGAATCAAAGCTTTGGTCTTTGAGTGGCAGGCACTAGGAAACACATTCTCTTGTCATAGTTTCATAGAAAGTTAGGGTTGGAAGAGACCTCAGGAGGTCATCTAGCCCTCTGTTCAAAGCAGGGCCATCCCCAACTAGATCATCCTGTTCCAGTGTTTTACTACCCTCCTAGTGAGACAATTCTTCCAAATACCTAACCTAAACGTCTCTTGCTCCAACTCGAGACCATTGCTCCTTGTTCTGTCATCTGCCACCACTGAGAACAGTCTAGCTCTATAAAGGCTCCATGTAGGCTCAATGTATCCTAGGTATTTTATCTTCTAATCACATTTTGTTAAGTACAGTGACATTGCCACTATAATAGGAACCTGGGGAATGCTTATAAAAAATTTGAGTTGCAAGCAAGATACTAAAGAAGAGAGATTGTTTATTAAGCCTTCCATTACCTTCTGCTACAAGGGAAGTACAGTAAGATGCTAAGAACAGCTGTAACATGCTTTGGGCTCTATCTCCTGCAGCAGGGCTGCTTTGCTTAAAGCACAACCAGCTGTCAGTAGAGGCATCACTTTTGTTACTATGAATTATATTTGGTATTCCCAGAAACCCCAGTCTCAGGTCAGGACCCAGCCATGCTAGGTGCTGTACAAACACCACAAAAGGACAATCCCTACCTCAGAGGGCTTACAGTAAAAAATGTAGGACGAGGGAAAAGAGAAGGATACACAGAGATGAATGAGATGGCAAGGAAACAATGAGATGATGTAAGTCAGTATGTTATATAGTGTTATATAGTGTTATATAACTAGTACAGTATAGTGTCATGGCATTTAAGAGTCTCTATACTAATACTAGGAGCATGGGGAAGAAGCAGGAGGTACTCGCACTCCTGCTTGCAAACAAAAACTTCGACCTGGTTGGGCTAACTGAAATCTGGTGGGACCCTACCCATGATTGGGCAGTAGGCATTGAGGGATGTAAGCTGTACAAGTGGGATAGAGTAGGGGAAAAAGGTGGGGGTGTTGCTGTCTATGTTAAGGAGCAATATACATCCTCTATAATCAAGATGAGACCAGAGGAGGAGCAAATTGAGGTATTGTGGGTCAGAATACAAGGGGGCTGGGACTTGGTAGTGGAGGTCTACTACAGACTGGCACACCAGGAGGATGATCTAGACCTAAAATTTGCAAGGCAGCTCTCAGAGGCTGTATGGTCAAGAGACATGGTTGTCATGGGTGACCTAAACTACCCTGACATCTCCTGGGAGGAGCAGTCAGCCAG